ATATCAACGCATTGCTTCTTCTGCGGCAGGATCCATCCTCCAGGATAGTTAATAGGGTCTTGAATGAATGAATCTACTTGCGTACGTGCGCTCCACACCAATGAACCCGCCACCACTCCTTCTGTCGCAGCGAGAATCGACAGGAACTTTGGCACAGCAGCGTGCATTCTTTCTTCTTGTGGATTTTCAGGAGAAATTAGAATCCGGATACTATCCGGTGAGTGGATTTTGGTTCCCAGGGATGACCAATCAGAATGCAACAACGTACATGAGAATCAGGCATTCAAATACCAGTTTTATAAGCATTTTTAACCTAGGTTATGTATACAATTAAAATGCCTGGTTAAACCATGACAGGTATCGTCACCTCACATATGTAGGCGACGCATTCAATCGTTATCTCATTGTCCTGTGTGGCGGCGCCGAGGCGGAAGGCCTTGGTGCGGAGCCAAACAACAGGGATTTCATAGAACAGAGCGCATGCACCCAGCACTTTGCGGTATGACTTTTCTCCTTTGTGATGTGTACGCTCGCTGTAGATAGAGGACTTCTGGTTGTCGCAAGCGAGAGCACTGCGACGATTTTTTGCAAAGATGAACCACATATAACTTGACAACAATGGATAAGGGGTATTTAATGCTTTTCCTCCTTGTCGCAGAGTTCCTGGTACTCACTTTCTTGCAGCAAGTTGGACGTTTCGCTGACATCGTCCAATTCGATCTTGATGAACCACCCAGTGGTTTGAGCACCGTCGTTGACCAAGCTGGGTTCATCGGCCAAAGCTTCGTTGACTTCCACAACCTTGCCCGAAGCAGGGGCGTACACATCGCTAGCAGCCTTGACGGATTCGACCGACCCGAAAACTTCGCCCTTGGTCACTTGGTCACCAACGGAAGGCAATTCCACGTACACGACGTCGCCCAATGCGTTTTGGGCGAAGTCAGTGATACCAATGGTGGCCTGGTTGCCGGCGATGGTCAGGTACTCGTGCGAGGGGGAGAACTTGGTAGTGAAGCATCGGCGGGAGAGCGCGGACGCGGCAGGGGCACGGGCAACAGAACGGATCACACGGGACAACATGACGATGTTGGAAATATGGAAATGGATGGCACCATCGATCTTCCCCAACCAGCTCACTTCCCATCGCCAAGGATGACCTCTCAAAATGAATACTTGTGATTTAGTAGGGACGAATCAGAACTGTCTTGAAATTTGTATGCAAGGCATCGCGTCCTTGGCAACCGGACATTATCCGGACTATGCACGAAGCTCTTGACCAACCAAACGAGGGCAAACATCGAGCCGGCAGGTGCAGTAACTCAATAACTTTTCATAGGTTGTGATAGAAACGCAGTCAACGTACATGTTGAGTACACCACCAGGGCGAGACGAGAGTGGAAGTCGGGGATTTCTGCTGTCTGTGCTCCTCTAATGTCCACATTAAACGTTGTTATTCAAACGGTAGTACATAAAGTAGCGAACACGGAGAGGCTCACATCGAGCGCCGTTCAGATTCAAATTCCAATGGTGCGCGGTTTCGATGCAGCAATTGAATGCAACAACTGTCATATTACCTGAGTTCAACCAAACCCTCTTAAAACCAATACAATGTGGCCTCCAATTCGAAAGACAAGTCGGTGCACAGGGTACATCGACATTCGGCCTACAGCCCTGAGTACTTAGCAAGCATTCAAAAATACGATGTTACAACACCCACAGTCTGCACATGGACGGCTAACAATTCCCTTTCTTGAGCATGGTGGTTTGTCCCCCGTGCGCAATCGACAGGATGAGGGTTTGGGGCGTCAATTGTTGTTACAGATAAATGGATTTTGCCAATTATTTATTTATAAAGGATATGCAAGATACCAGGTTAATCCAAAGATCGCGGCCGTTGTGTAATTATATCGTCGAACGGCACGGTTGGAGTTACGGCGGTGCCGGTCATCGCGCAGCGCTTTGAGTCGGCATGAAGGTGCAATTTGCGTCGCGGGCCCTACTCGTTCTTCTTTTGGTGTGCTTGCAGACTGTGGCAACTCCAGACGATGCCGACAAAGTCGCTCAAGTACCGCAGCTGACGTCCGAGGCGCTTGCAGATTCAGTCTCGGCGTCGCTGGAACAAGTTGTTTCGAGTGCTGAGGCGGAAGAAACCCAGTCCTTGAGCATTGGTTCGAGCGTGATCTTTGTCGCTGGCGTGGCTATGCTTGGCATCATTGGGTACGTCGTGTACCGCCAGCACCGTCGAAATCTGGCGAAGGAAGAAGACAGCCAACTGATGAAGTCTCTCTTGGACAGCGAAATGGATTACGCAGCCATGTAGTGTGTCCATTCCTTCCGTATAATATATAAGTGAAACCAGGATGATCATTTGTGTTTCGGGCTTTGGCACAGCAGAAGCTCGTCGCTCTCGTTTGGACTGTCCCCCGAATCTTTGTCGTTGTCCGTTTGGATCGATAAGAATGTGCTCTTCGAGACCGAATCATGCTTGCCCGAGCTGTCCTTGGGCGCATCTTGGCCATTCTTGGCCAGAGTCCGGGCTATAATGAGCCCAAACACCACACCGAGAAGGACGCCGACAAACACAAACAGTACGAGAGCCTTGAAACTCACTAGGGTTTCCTGGTCGTCATCATGATCGTGATCTCGATTTGAGTTGGTGGCTGTGTTTGGCTGCACCGTTACTACACATACCATCAGCCCATCAAAGCACCCATCGGCAATTGTACCTTTCAAAGCAGTAGCACAGATCGACTTGTCTGTTGCGTACGTAGTCAAATTCTTGAATAATTCCAATGGACACAGCGAATCGCCTGATGTTCACACAAGTCAGCGCATCGCATTGAGGCTGGCTAACATGATGAGGCGACTCCGACTCACTTTGACAGCCAGGTAGAAGCAGTGGTTGGCCTTGGTAAACGAAGCGAACGAAATGGCCGCCTGCTTTGCTGGCATACAACTCGAACGACAGGAATGCTGCATAGGGAGGCCAGTCTTGGAGCCATTCAGCCCCACCCAGAGCCGCCAGCACGGGCATGACAGTGTCGTCGTGGCCTACAATGCTGCTGCTTCAAGACTTGATGCCCACAGCATTTTCACACACCTGAATATAGTGCAAAGCGGGGACCAGTTGAATTGCCATCGACTCGAGACAGGATGCGATTGCGGATGGCAAGGATAACCTTGGCCATGCTTACTTTGGCGTACGACGGGTCCTCGAGGTAAATCTTCATGCGCTTGTCGCGCTCGTACGTGAAGATTTCATTATAGTGCGAAGGAGACAGCCAGTCCGGCAGACTCTGTGGCTGGCTGCATCGAGAAGTCAAGAGACAGTCGAACAGTACGCTCGGGTCGTAGGATTGAAACGTGGCCTTCGTTAGTTCCACCACATGCGACTGGTTGGCAAGCCACGCCGTGTAGCGGGGACTTGACTCGTACCGCGCTTGGATTTCGGCCAACTTGGGGCATGCTGTTGGGTTGGGCACGTACGACGAGAGCGCGATGTCGCCCACATGCCACGGTACCAGAGCGGATGATGGGCGTGTCGGCGGAAACATTGCGTCGACCACGAGCTACGGTGTGCAAACGATTTGCAATTCAAGATCAGCATGGTACGATGCGTACTTGGCCAGACATGACTGTACGATGCATGTCTGTACTGCTCAGGAACACGTCTAGAAAAATAGCTAAACAAACGAAGTTTTCCTACGCAATCAACATAAACGCACCGTCAGGATTTGTGAGATCCGCGGGCTTGTTGTCTGGGAACAGTGCGCCTGTATCAACGTAAGCTTGGCGAAATGTTCTAATACAAGTCGATCAGGGACTAGTGACCGATCGTGGCGTCTACCGTCCATTTTGGAACTCCTGTGCATAGCCTTCGTCGAGCAATTGGCCGATGTGGCAGTTCCCCTTGAGCGCAGTTTCTCCGTCCATGTACCGTGTATCGTACACGTGATGGAGACTGGTAGCGTTGTCGAGTTGTGGACTCTGGAGAAGGTTGGCCTCATGTGAGAATCGTGAAATATCCAAGGGACTGCGACGAACCACACGAAATTTTGCATTGCATGACCACGTGACGTTATATCCGGCCCAACAAGACGAACGTGTGGCCAATGTTCGAGCGCCATGGCGCATGACAATTTGAACCTGCTGGAGGGTGTATTTGTCTGGGTGGGGCAGGGGTGTGATCACGTTTTCCTCGACATGGTTGGAGCAGTACGGGTAGTCAGCGAACGGTTCGGCTGCTTCCACTTGAGGTCCTGCAGTAATCCCAAGCAACAAAGCCAGCGCTACGTTCATCCGATGGATGCCTCTTCGCCGCGAACACTCCGTGCTCGAAGACTTCCATCCCATCGAATTGCCGCCTCAATGGGGTCGATATTGCCAAAAGATTTTTGGTGTGTCTCGAGTGGTAATACTTTGTAAATTAATTTATAGAATTATTTGGAAAGGAATTGATGTCGCGTGTGTCATGCACATGACAAAGTAACAATTATAACTACTGTTATAATACAGAATCCGGACCTGTGATTGGCCTTGGCTCGAGCCAGTCGAGACGAGGTTCAAGCACAATCATGGACTCGACGCAACTGGGTAATCGCGGCCACGACGACGATCCTTTCACTGACGCCACGCGAAGTAGATGCCGAAGGGATTGACGGACTTGCCCCACTTGTAAAGGACAAGAACTTCCTGTACTCTGGTCGAAAGTCCTTTGCGGTATGGATGGATTGGACAGAATGGCAGGCAGTCTATGCCGACGTGTTTGCCATCGAACTTGACCTTGATGTTGGCTCCGTCTCGCTGCACGCGCGAAAGCTACGCGCTCTTTCATACATGGCAGCATGGCGAGCACGAAGTGATGTTCCTGTCGCTGTGGAGGTGACCGCGCAACTGGTCGAAATCAGTTGCCATGACAACATCCATGGGCTAGCCCTTCCTGGTCGATCAGCGTATCGATCCCACGAAGAATTGCGACTACTTTACAGCGCTACCATCGTTCGCTGTGTCAATGGCCTTGTCGATGCTTCCCAGCGAGGGGCGTACGCTCAAGCCGTGAGTTCTCTGGCCTTGCGCATTGGAATTCCCCTTTGGATTGTCGATATCCGGCACGAAGCAGCGCACACAAAGCTTCCGTCGTTGCCAACGCTGCAACTGGCATGTCAAACCCTCCTCCAGTGGTTGTTTGAGCATTACTGGCATCCCCAAGACGCAGCCATCAAGCAACGAGTCACCCGCGTTGGGGTTGCCTTGGCGCGACGACTACGTACGACTCGATCATGAAGTCAATGCATTCTACTGGAAGTGAAACAGTCTAGTGTAGGGCACAACGAGCCCTTGGGTCAGCTCCTTGGCCTGGACGTAGCAACGTTGAGTGGAACCATCGTACCGCTTTTGATTCGCGGCCAACAGTATGGCGAATTTGCTTCACCAGGTACGGACTCCATGCTTTCTCTCCCATTGCATGGTGGTTCCTACAATTTGATGGTTAGATGGCATGATCATGGATATGGTGCCAAAAGACACACCGTTAGACTTCACTCGCTTTGACGACGAGTGGCTGCAAATATGTGGCCAAGAGGAGCTCGTTCGGGTGTTTGAAGAGTGTCAAGGGCTATGGGACGACTTTGGAGGATGGTTTCTTGTCGCGATCGCCCAGGAACTGGCCCGCATTGACCAAGACGAAACCCAGGACGTGAAGGGCGTTCTTTTGACAAAGTGGATGTTGCACATTGCATCCTCGGATGCAATGCGAGTCGGTCGGCGTGGTCAGCGACTGCCGGTGGCTTGTTCTGAAGCGTTAACATGGCTTTCGACCCTGAACAATGCACGTGGACAAGACAATGTATAGTATTCGACCTGACTGCAGTCACCGGGCATCCTCGAATCAACGTCTTGTAGGTGTTGGGCCACTACTTGTCGCTGGCCATATCTGCCTTACGAGAAGTCGCAGCAGGCACCTCTCCTGCAAACGTTGCAAATGAACCAACTACGTCGTGGACGAAATGCGACTCGTGGACGCCGAGCCCCTTGGGGATCCAAACGCCGTTTGGGTCGATTCCGCGGACTCTTTCTTTCAACGAAGCGGATGATGAGTGGCAGGCTGGTACGCTTCACAGTTGTTGCATCGTGCGTTAAGTGGACTGACCCATCGACGCAGGCAACTTGGTTGTGCTGTCGGACCACGTTCGGGCTTCCGACAACCTGATGGACGCTTTCGACGCCAAGTATTTTGCCTCGGTACACGGCATTGTCGACGCATCCAAGAAGGTTGCCGACGAGATTGTGGCTCGAGGGCACACGAGCCACAATGAGTCCATCTCGCAGGACGAAGTCGAGCGGCTGCAAAACGCCATTGAAATCTGGTAACCCCGACCGAAGGAACGAGTGGCATGCTCGTTTTCATCTCACTTGGCTCATACAATGGTGAATGTACACGTCGGATTACCCACGCATAGCAGATAAGTAAATGAAAAAACTGGCTGGCTCCCAATGGAGTGCTGCTGAACGAACCAAGAGGAAAAGTGCAAACGACAGTCTGGATGATGTGGTGTTTAGATAAAAGTGCATACTGATGGAGCGCGGTAGTAGTATAGATTCACCAAAGGTATCCTCGAAAGGGAGCAAATGGCGACGGCATCACCACAGGTTCTTGGCGCACAAGTGCTGGATGGAAGAGCCTCGGTCGGGTGCGCATAGCAATCTCTGGCGCGCACCTTCGCACGTGTGGGATGTAGTAGGGTGCGATGCAGTCGTACGAGTTTGGGTCGTTGATGTAGATGTGGGTCGTGTCGCCTTGAATTGGCGCCACGTACGTGCGGCCATGAACATGGACGTGGACCATGTGGGGCTTCTTGGAAGTTGCATCGTTAGCCAAGCTGGGTGACGCTGCCGAAGTTGTGTCATCATCACGCGAACGGCCGGGTTCGTCCCGCTGGAGCAATGCCTCGTCTTTCTGGCCTGGCTTGGCTTCGCATGCGTGAATGGGCTCGTCCACGGCGGTGTTGCTGCCTGTGATGGCGATGTTATCCGTGCTGGGGGTCACTTGCTCGCAACTGATCGGATGGACAGCATGTTGGCCCATCGTCTGCGCTTCCCTCGCTTCAACCGTTGACGAACTGTCGCCCAAAGCACGCGCGTCCGTGCCGCCGTCACAGTGAACTTCGTCAGAGGTTGCATCAGTATCAATGGGAAGGTCGCCCGAGTCAGCGCTTTTGTGATGCTCCGCCATCCATTCCACGAGCTCGTAGTCGTCGCCAAGGTCGCCAATGCTCGATGTGTCGGTGGTCGCATCGTCATCTGGGACGGCTGCAGACACACACTTGGTTTTATGGGCCAAACATAAATGGACGAAGCGAGTCAACCGATCGCTTTGCACGGCCATCTTGTCCGCCACCAAGAGCAACTCTTGAATCTTCCCCACGATACATTTGCGCTCTTGGCGAACAGTGGCGTCGCCGTCGCTGAGGATAAGGTCCAAGTCAAAGAGGAGCTTGGTCAAGTCCTCCGCTTGGCTAAGCACTCGACGGCAATAATGTTTGAGGCTCATCTTCACTTGGCGATGCCCTGCGAGGATCCGATCGTTGTCATGTTTCCAAATCGACATGGCGAGCCACTTCTTTGCAGCTGCTGATGCGGCGACGATTTTCCTTTGGTTGGGCAGTCGTTGAACGAGGATTTCTTCGATGTCACGCGCAGTCTTGGCAACGTTGTGGAGCTGACTCTGCGCGTCGTTGGGGGCTGTAGGGGCTTGCGTCATGAGAGAAAGTTCAAAAGTGATCGTCCCAGTTGGATAGCATGTTGGACAACGGATCGCATTGCTCGCGTACTCATTCTCCCTCACTCGAACAGTCTCGAATGTCCCTGGAGAATTCTCGAAAGTTCGTGCAGAGTCTCCCACGACTTCGGTCGAGTGAGGTCAGGCAAAGCATCAACCCGGGAGCGACGGGGGACTAGAGCAGCACACAAGAGACTGTTCGGGCGATGGACATGCTACCAACTCGAGTAGTAGACATGGACGTACACTGCAGCAGCATAACCAAG